CTCACCTGCCAGCATTGAATGGCCATTGGTGGTTTGTTATGTAGCCTCACATGCCAGCATTGAATGGCCATTGGTAGTTTGTTATGTAGCCTCACATGCCAGCATTGAATGGCCATTGGTGGTTTGTTATGTAGCCTCACATGCCAGCATTGAATGGCCATTGGTGGTTTGTTGTGTAGCCTCACCTGCCAGCATTGAATGACCATTGGTGGTTTGTTATGCAGCCTCACATGCCAGCATTGAATGGCCATTGGTGGTTTGTTATGTAGCCTCACCTGCCAGCATTGAATGGCCATTGGTGGTTTGTTATGTAGCCTCACATGCCAGCATTGAATGGCCATTGGTGGTTTGTTATGTAGCCTCACCTGCCAGCATTGAATGGCCATTGGTGGTTTGTTATGTAGCCTCACATGCCAGCATTGAATGGCCATTGGTGGTTTGTTGTGTAGCCTCACCTGCCAGCATTGAATGACCATTGGTGGTTTGTTATGCAGCCTCACATGCCAGCATTGAATGGCCATTGGTGGTTTGTTATGTAGCCTCACCTGCCAGCATTGAATGGCCATTGGTGGTTTGTTATGTAGCCTCACATGCCAGCATTGAATGGCCATTGGTGGTTTGTTATGTAGCCTCACCTGCCAGCATTGAATGGCCATTGGTGGTTTGTTATGTAGCCTCACCTGCCAGCATTGAATGGCCATTGGTGGTTTGTTATGTAGCCTCACATGCCAGCATTGAATGGCCATTGGTGGTTTGTTATGTAGCCTCACCTGCCAGCATTGAATGGCCATTGGTGGTTTGTTATGTAGCCTCACATGCCAGCATTGAATGGCCATTGGTGGTTTGTTATGTAGCCTCACATGCCAGCATTGAATGGCCATTGGTGGTTTGTTATGTAGCCTCACATGCCAGCATTGAATGGCCATTGGTGGTTTGTTATGTAGCCTCACTTGCCAGCATTGAATGGCCATTGGTGGTTTGTTATGTAGCCTCACCTGCCAGTATTGAATGGCCATTGGTGGTTTGTTATGTAGCCTCACCTACCAGCATTGAATGACCATTGGTAGTTTTTATGTAGCCTCACCTGCCAGCATTGAATGGCCATTGGTGGTTTATTATGTAGCCTCACCTGCCAGCATTGAATGGCCATTGGTGGTTTGTTATGTAGCCTCACCTGCCAGCATTGAATGGCCATTGGTGGTTTGTTATGTAGCCTCACCTGCCAGTATTGAATGGCCATTGGTGGTTTGTTATGTAGCCTCACATGCCAGCATTGAATGGCCATTGGTGGTTTGTTATGTAGCCTCATCTGCCAGTATTGAATGGCCATTGGTGGTTTGTTATGCAGCCTCACATGCCAGCATTGAATGGCCATTGGTGGTTTGTTATGTAGCCTCACATGCCAGCATTGAATGGCCATTGGTAGTTTGTTATGTAGCCTCACCTGCCAGTATTGAATGGCCATTGGTGGTTTGTTATGTAGCCTCACATGCCAGCATTGAATGGCCATTGGTGGTTTGTTATGTAGCCTCACCTGCCAGCATTGAATGGCCATTGGTGGTTTGTTATGTAGCCTCACCTACCAGCATTGAATGGCCATTGGTGGTTTGTTATGTAGCCTCACATGCCAGCATTGAATGGCCATTGGTAGTTTGTTATGTAGCCTCACCTGCCAGCATTGAATGGCCATTGGTGGTTTGTTATGCAGCCTCACATGCCAGCATTGAATGGTCATTTTTGGTTTGTTATGTAGCCTCACATGCCAGCATTGAATGGCCATTGGTGGTTTGTTATGTAGCCTCACCTGCCAGCATTGAATGGCCATTGGTGGTTTGTTATGTAGCCTCACCTGCCAGCATTGAATGGCCATTGGTGGTTTGTTATGTAGCCTCACCTGCCAGCATTGAATGGCCATTGGTGGTTTGTTGTGTAGCCTCACATGCCAGCATTGAATGGCCATTGGTGGTTTGTTATGTAGCCTCACATGCCAGCATTGAATGGCCATTGGTAGTTTGTTATGTAGCCTCACCTGCCAGCATTGAATGGCCATTGGTGGTTTGTTATGTAGCCTCACATGCCAGCATTGAATGGCCATTGGTGGTTTGTTATGTAGCCGCACATGCCAGCATTGAATGGCCATTGGTAGTTTGTTATGTAGCCTCACCTGCCAGCATTGAATGACCATTGGTGGTTTGTTATGTAGCCTCACATGCCAGCATTGAATGGCCACTGGTGGTTTGTTATGTAGCCTCACATGCCAGCATTGAATGGCCATTGGTGGTTTGTTATGTAGCCTCACCTGCCAGCATTGAATGGCCATTGGTGGTTTGTTATGTAGCCTCACATGCCAGCATTGAATGGCCATTGGTAGTTTGTTATGTAGCCTCACCTGCCAGCATTGAATGGCCATTGGTGGTTTGTTATGTAGCCTCACATGCCAGCATTGAATGGCCATTGGTGGTTTGTTATGTAGCCGCACATGCCAGCATTGAATGGCCATTGGTAGTTTGTTATGTAGCCTCACATGCCAGCATTGAATGGCCATTGGTGGTTTGTTATGTAGCCTCACATGCCAGCATTGAATGGCCATTGGTGGTTTGTTATGTAGCCTCACATGCCAGCATTGAATGGCCATTGGTGGTTTGTTGTGTAGCCTCACCTGCCAGCATTGAATGGCCATTGGTAGTTTGTTATGTAGCCTCACCTATCAGCATTGAATGGCCATTGGTGGTTTGTTATGTAGCCTCACCTGCCAGCATTGAATGGCCATTGGTGGTTTGTTGTGTAGCCTCACCTGCCAGCATTGAATGACCATTGGTGGTTTGTTATGTAGCCCCACCTGCCAGTATTGAATGGCCATTGGTAGTTTGTTATGCAGCCTCACATGCCAGCATTGAATGGCCATTGGTGGTTTGTTATGTAGCCTCACATGCCAGCATTGAATGGCCATTGGTGGTTTGTTATGTAGCCTCACCTGCCAGCATTGAATGGCCATTGGTGGTTTGTTATGTAGCCTCACATGCCAGCATTGAATGGCCATTGGTAGTTTGTTATGTAGCCTCACATGCCAGCATTGAATGGCCATTGGTGGTTTGTTATGTAGCCTCACATGCCAGCATTGAATGGCCATTGGTGGTTTGTTGTGTAGCCTCACCTGCCAGCATTGAATGACCATTGGTGGTTTGTTATGCAGCCTCACATGCCAGCATTGAATGGCCATTGGTGGTTTGTTATGTAGCCTCACCTGCCAGCATTGAATGGCCATTGGTGGTTTGTTATGTAGCCTCACATGCCAGCATTGAATGGCCATTGGTGGTTTGTTATGTAGCCTCACCTGCCAGCATTGAATGGCCATTGGTGGTTTGTTATGTAGCCTCACCTGCCAGCATTGAATGGCCATTGGTGGTTTGTTATGTAGCCTCACATGCCAGCATTGAATGGCCATTGGTGGTTTGTTATGTAGCCTCACCTGCCAGCATTGAATGGCCATTGGTGGTTTGTTATGTAGCCTCACCTGCCAGCATTGAATGGCCATTGGTGGTTTGTTATGTAGCCTCACATGCCAGCATTGAATGGCCATTGGTGGTTTGTTATGTAGCCTCACCTGCCAGCATTGAATGGCCATTGGTGGTTTGTTATGTAGCCTCACATGCCAGCATTGAATGGCCATTGGTGGTTTGTTGTGTAGCCTCACCTGCCAGCATTGAATGGCCATTGG